AAACAGAATGGAACCCACTAACAAGCAGAGGTCTTGTACATGCAGCCAATACCACAAGCCAGCCTCAGCCCCCAGCTGGAGGAGGATATGAATTGTCTTCTTGAAGCTTATCAGCCACATCTTTTGTGCATACGACATGACGCAACACGCTATGTATCCTTCTCTCTTTAAATGTGGTAGGAAAAGAGGACCTATATTAAACCAAGTCTTTTTTTCTTCAAAAATAACAGGTGGAATACATGCAACAAACACGAAAAATTTGCCATCCATTTGCTATGCAGTGTACCACACAGCTACCACAACACGAAAATAATAAAAAGCAGCATCCACGGCAAGCTCTGATAAGTTACTCCATAAACAGTAAAAGTAACACTCAAGTTCCCATAAATCTGTGCTCTTTTTATGCCCTAGGCTCCCAACACCCACCTTTGCTCACCTGTCAGTTCTGCTGACATGGCCACCAAAGGAAAGACAGGATATCTGCGGGCCCGTCAGCAGTGTCTGCTGGCCAGCCTGCCACTATGGCCACCCACTGCCGAACACGGAGCAGTGTTGTTCGCTCTGAACTAGTCTTGCTCTTCTATCTTAGATTTCACAAAAAAAGCTAAGAAGGTATTGCATGTAAATTGAATTTTTACCACGTCATACTTCCGTTCTGCAGTTACACTTAAAATTTGAGTAAGACATCCATCGCTCTGCAAGCTGGAGCTGCGGTTCTAATTGCTCAGCAGCCCCTCAGGAGCCCGCCCTACCCTTCACCTCCATTTCTCCCGGAGACAGGGTGATCATTCATGGCAATCAAGATTTTGGCTGTACCTCCAGCAGGATTTTTCACAAGGCCCTGATACCAGCACAATCCATATCCCTAGCACCGCTTTGGTCTCACCTATGCGTGATGTTTCCTGTTCCCTCTGTGACACTTCTCACTGGCAAGAACCGTGCGTACATTTTCTGCTTTTCAACGCCATTTCCAGCGAGCACATTTCCCTCCCACAAGACAGCAGCCAGGAGGCTGTGTTGCCTCCCGCATGAGGCAAAGGTCCCACCACCAAGACGTCTGCCCAAGAGGCGCCATGGTGCTCTGTGGGCTTCAGTGGTGAACTTCCAGCCCTGGGGAACACCCCCTCACACAGCCTTTGAGGGAGAGATGCTACGTCAGTCAGATGTGAGAGATTTTGCACTGATTGAGAGAATGTTTCAAGGCAATACATGTAGCAAGAAACTCGTAGATCTGAGGGGATTTTTTTCTTTTCAGTTACATTATTTATTTGTTGAATTCTCTTCCAGAAAATCATCAGTGCTATATACAGCAAAAGCATGCTGCTGCATTTACATAATTTTGTATCATATTCTTGCCTAAGTTGCTATTCAGTTATGATAAATATATACAATCTTTATCACACCTGGCATTGATATTTGAAAACCTCACGCTGCACTGTAAGCAGGGATGGATTGCACCAGCCAAGGCAGTACTAATTTCGTGTTGCGCCATATCAATGCCCTTCCTCAAGGGATCTTCAGCTCCAGCACTGCCCTTCTTGGCCCTTTGCATTGCCACTGAATGATGTGGTCAGTGATCCACGCTCAGCTGTCTCTTCCGCCATGAATTTAAAAAAAAAAAAATCAAGGTAAACAGCAAGCTGCAAATTGCGTTCAATTCCACATCCATAGGTCTGTAATGTTCCATACAACAGCAAAATCAGACACTGTCATGGCTTGTGTTCCTATTGCAGCAGAACTGCAGAGGACTGGTAAGTACTTCAGCAGACTGCAAACAGTGGTGCTCCTCTTCTCACCTCCACCCTGCCCCTCTGCTCTCCAGCTCCTGCTTCTGTCTACCTCTCCACCTCACCATGACTGCTACAGTGTGCTGAAGCTCACTCAATGAGCAGAAGATTCACTGAGGATTTGCCGAAAAGTCATGGCTGGGTAAAACTAATTGCATTTATTATAAATATTCCTATATTCATAGTGAGTCAAGCACTGACTCAGTAAAATTTCTGTCTGAATTAAGTCAGATTCTGGCCTTACTATTAGATATAGTCCTTAATAATTTCTAAAGCTAAGATAATAAATTTCATATATGTATATTTGTGCGAATAAAACCATTCTTAAGGAAACTTTGCTAATGGTAGCTAAATACCAAGAAACACATCATGTTTTGTAACTGGACAAACAAAAAAAAAGATTAGAATAATTGCAGTTCTGTACAGTTTGTCGCCTTCTAGAGAGTGGAGTGTGAATTTCAGCTAGAAAGAAACAACTTTTCACAAAGCGATGTAATCATTCGCCTGATGATCAGCTTTGATGGATTCCAGCACCTGAATCCTGTGCCAAATGAAAAGAATCTCTCAAGCAAAGCTACATTCTCTGTTCAGATGATAATCCAGTGTCAGAAAACTTTTCCATTGCTATTTCAGTGTTCTTTTTAATTAATAATTCTCTTTTTTCTAATGTTCTCTTTAGTAGACATGTCACTGTTGGCTTTGACCAGCCTTAGCTTTGGTGTAAGCAGCTCCCAATGAGCAGGTGGAGTGTAGAACTGGGCAAAGGATTATGAGACCTAACACCTAAGCCCAGCTATGTGCTCTGGTTTCATGTGGGACAGAGTTAGTTCTTCCTTTTAGCAGCTAGAAGAGCTCTGTGTTTTCATTTTAGTCTGGGACTCATTATGAGAAGAACATTGATAGCGCACTGATGTTTATAATTGGCACTGAGGCCTCAAGGACCTTTCAGGTTGCCGTGTTCTTGCCAGTGTGCAAGAGTACAACAGGATAGCGGGGAGCATGGCCAGGACAAAGGGCCCACAACTGCCCTTGTGAGTTGAACTTAGATTTAGGATCGAGGGACAAATTGACCAATGAAGTATTACATATCATGCAGCGTCATGCCCAGTATAAAGATGAGGGTTGACCAGAAAGAAGGGCCTTGGCTCTTCCAGGGCCCTCACTCTCAGAGTGCTATCGCTCTCTCGCTCTCTCTTCGAGCCTCTCACTTGTCCAGGATTGAATCATAGAATCATGGAATCATAGAATGGTTAGGGCTGGAAGGGACCTCAAAGATCATCTAGTTCCAACCCCCCTGCCATGGACAGGGAAACCCCAGGAATAATGTATTATTATTGGTAGTATTAAATTGTTCTTATATCAACCCAGGTGTCTCTTTCCCTTTTGCCCTTTAATTATCTTCCCCATCCCCTGGGGGTGGAGGAGGGTGAGCGAGCGGCTGTGTGGAGTTTAGTTGACAGCCTAACCCACAACATTATGTCAGTAGCCTTGAGCTTGTTTCTTCTTTTCTCTTTTTGCTTTCCTTGCCATGCTTTGCTCAAAATGCCATCTTTTTACATTGGTATTGTCACAGCATGACCTGTCTGCAACAAAAGCACAGTGGAGACCTACACTTAAACAGGATTTCCAGGTAGAAGTAATTAACAGAAACAACATAAACGTAAGTAGAATGAGCCTCGACATAATCTGTTTCATTGACTTTTGTGATATTTCAGTGATGTAGGACAGATGAGATGCAATTTTTCCTTAGAAAATAAGGAGGATTCCTCTGTAAATGTCACTTTCCTGGTAACCATGAGAATGCTCTTTAGAAGAGTGCGAATGTTAAGTGAGGTGAATAAGACTTCAGTTTTCCACAGGACAGTGTTATTCTTTTATCTTAATTCTTTCCCTGAAAGGAGTTGTAGATCATGGTTGCTCCCTTAGAGGTGCAGAGAAGCCCAAATTACTTGCTGTCACAGGCACAGTGAGAGTGGTTTGGGTTGCTCGATGAGAAGAGTCCTTCAGTAATAACACTCTACAAATTGTATTACATAGTAAAAGAAGATGCATTGTCAGTCAGAATTTCACTAGTCGGTCTTGAATGATAAGTATCAGAGTTTGTCCTTGAACCACGTTTATTGTATTTCTTGTATCTCATGCACCATAAGTCCTTCATTAACCTCACAAAATAACTTCTGAACTTCACTCCAATAAACGCATAGAGCACAGGGTTCACGCAACAGTGTAGAAAGGCGATGGCTTCAGTGGTGTATTTCGCATAGGCCATTATCTTGTCATTGTCACAAGATTTGTCTATCTTGCCCATATTTACAGCTGTCACAAGAAGAACAATGTTGTAAGGTACCTGGCAAACTAGGAAAACGGCTACAATCAATACGATCACCCGGATTGCTTTGTTTCTTTTGGAATTCTGAGCTTGTTGTAAGGATTTGACAATGCACGTATAGCAAAAAATCATGAATATGAAAGGTATAAAAAAACCAAAGCCAACTTGTAGACACAGCAGCAGTGTTTTCAGCATCGTGCTTTCAGACATTCTGTCAAACCTGTGATCGCAAATCTCTTTGGTTTCATTGGAGGAGAACCTGTAACTTTCACTGTACAGAAAAGAGGAACTAGAGATTAAAATTGATGCTATCCACACGGCCAAACAAATGAGTTTGCTATACGCGAGCGTTCTTGCCCTGAGTTTAAATGACTTTGTTGCCTGTACGATAGCAATGTACCGGTCCACACTGATAAAGGCCAAAAGCAGCATGCCACAGCTGAAGTTGATTGCATAGATACCTCTGGCCATTTTGCAAACGAAATCACTGAAAATCCATTTGTCAGCAGCATAATTCACTGCCCACAGTGGGAGAGTGAGAACAAACAGTATGTCTGCTATGGCCATGTTGAAAAGGTACACATCCGTCATGGACTTGGCTTTTTCATATAAAGCAAAGGTCATCACTACAAAGATGTTACCAACTAGGCCGATGATACAAATCAGCGAATACACAACTGGCAGAAATGCTTTTGTGAAGTTCCTGACTTCCAACTTAGAACAAGGTTGTGTGATTAGAGAAGCATAGTCTGAATAATATGGATAATCTGTGATACGAGGCTCTGTCTGTAAGAAAGAAGATATCCAGTTAACACATAGGTATTAATCACTGATTTCTATACAATAGAAAGATGATAGATAACAAAGTCATACAAATACAAGGTACTCTAGAAATCTTTTGAAAATTAGTATACGAGTATTATATGGCTTGCTGATTTGAATTGGAACTGACATTTCCCTTATGATAACTGTAATACTTTTGTCCAGTCCTTCCCACACCTCAGCTTCAAGTCTATACCAAACACATCTCAAGATAATCCACAGCACTGTTGTTTCCTCCAACACTACATGTTTTACACTGTTTCCACCCATCACACACCCCAATTACAAATGTATTTAACACTGCAGAGGAGACTTGTAAGAACTAGAGAATTTCATAAAATCTTAATTAAAATATGAACATGGAGATAATGTTTTTGGATGGCCCAAAGGTTTCCATCTTTAAATACATTATGCAGAAAGGATTAGTCTGCTGTCACAGAAGAAACTATGGTGTAAAAGTCTGAATTTGGAGTAGACGTCTAGACTTCCTTTACCATCAAGGGAGGGGAACAGGTCTTTCTAGCGTGTTCTACATTTCATACTAATGTAGCTTGACTCAATCAAGCTCAAAAATGATTACTTGTCTCCACTCAGCTAGACAGGTGACCCGGGATGGCTAGTCTGAGACACTGTTATCTGCACCACAGACACTAAACCTGTAGTTACATTAAGAGAGTGCAAATCCAATAAACAAGAGTGCTTTGACAGTGAACTCTGCTGTCAGAAACATCTTTTCAGCTAATTACTCCTGAGATTAGGGCATTTGGACCAGCAGCCTCCAAGAGCTGGGATTTCCAGATTCTTTGCTTCACTGATGTACTAACACAGTTTATCAGTAAAGTACTTACAGGATTCATTTTGGCAGTACACTTCTCCGAAAGAAAAATACGTTGCAAAGAACTTCAAAATGCTTTCCCAAGGATTTCTGAAAAGAAAACAAAGTAGATTGGATTGGAAAACCAGCACAAGAAATGTGACAATCGGAAATAAAATTTTTATTCAAAGAAGAATCTCGTCACTTCAGCTATACCAACGATATGCAGGAGCGTCTCAACAAATCACACATCTCTGCAGCACATTGTGAAGTTGTGGAAAGTGAATGGTTTGTATCAGTATCATTAAAAGCACAATCTTACATATGGAATGTTTATTCATAGAACTAAGTAATAAATAATATATGAGGATATGTGACTTTTACTACACATTGGCTTTGCACGACTAGATACTAGAGTAAATTAAATTTTGCTTTTGGAAATTCTGTATGACAATGACAATCAGTGTACTGAGGGCAATGCAGAACAAATAAACAGCACTACTTTAGTATAATCCATAGCAGTAATACAGCACTTTAACTTTTGTTTTTCACTGGCATTTTATCAGTGTGTCTCAGCACTTTTAACATCATGTTACTTGACCTTTTTTATTACACTATTCAGGTAAATTAAGAGTGCCAGGATAATCGCTTCTTATAGAGCAAAGGATAGGACACAACATATGAACAAACTGAGCACTAGTGTTGTTTTGTCTTGGTTCAGCGTGCAGATCTTTGTGTTATAGACTGCACTCTATGAAAATAACATTTTTTTTAATCACTGATACCTAAGTGTTTTACGAATGGTCATTAATTAATTTGCACAACATCCTGTGGTGAGGAGGTATTATTACCTTTATTTTACAGGAAACGAACTTGAGCACTGAGTCATTACAGTAAGTATCCACTTGAGATGTTCAGTTTGAGACATCTGACTTCCTCTAACATCACTTTTAAGAGTGCTTAGGGTTATGAAGGACCTCAGTTATGTAAAGGATTAAATCCATTGACTCTGGTTGCAACAAGGCTCAGACTTCTGCAGATGAGACCAGAGTCTAAGGTCACAGATAAAATGGGAAACACACCATTGGTGGCCACACGTGCAAAGCTGGGCTTCAATGACTTGTTTAACCTCACACAAAAACCCACGGGCAGGAGATTTAGTTCCTCAGCATTCCCCTGCATGAGTTCAGTCCTCCTCCTCTTTCCATCAGCTGCTCTGTGAGAGCGGCACACACCAGCAATGCAGTAATTGCGGTGACCCCCCCAGCATGAGGGCCCATGTTTGCTAAGGCTGTGGATGGCAGTTTTGTCTGGAGTGTCTCTGGTTTTTGTTAGTTGTGCTGCTAATAAGGAAGTGCACGGGGGTCAACTTTAAGGCTAGATAAGCAAATCCTTCCTGTTTGGGAATTACCTGAATTTTGAAAGAGAGAGATTGATAATCAGTAAAAGTGGGGCAGATGCAGCCCAGATGTAACTGAGAAGCTGCGGGAGAGAAAGGACTGAACACTCCAAAAGCATAATGAGGATGAGACTCACTATTACAAATGTGGGGAGGCTGGCTCATGACAGGGAGCTGCAGATGGGTAAAGACCCATACCCTGTGATGTTGCTTAAGCATCACAGCTTCTCTGGCTTTCCTGCTTTTTAAATAAATCTTTAACCACCTCTCTAACCTCCTCTGCTTTCTTTCAAAGATGATTTTTAGAAGCTGCTGGAATACAGCAGCCTGAAAGCACTTGAACACCTTCTGAAGCAAGCTTTAAACAATTTTAAGTGTCTCTCAGCAAGATGCATAAGGCAAGCAGGTAAGTTGTACAGTTCACCTGGGCCTGTGGTCCCCAGCCCATCTTTGAGCAACTCTAGTCTCCGTCTGCTGCTTTACTCTCCTCTGACCCCATCCAGCCAGACACTCATACCCTCACTTGGTGCTTCTGTTACCCTTTGCACTTGGCTGCAACAACAGTAACTCTTCAGTTGGATAGCACTAAAGAGGTACCTGTCTGGAAAATGTTACTTTATTGTTGCAAGAAAAATAACTTTCTAGGTATTTGTCATTCATATCTTTCTAGGACACACATGGCTGTAATATACAAAGAGAGCCTGACAGCATATATTCTCTATAAAACAGTCACCTTTTATTCCATTTAGCCAAAGCCACTCCCAAACATTAGTATAATGTGTAGAAGAAAGGAGACAGGGTGAAGGCATTTAGAAGAAAGGGCATACAGGTGTTCCCTAAAACCTGCGAGGGCTGAGAAAGATCTCTTCAGAGTAGCACTGGAGAAGGGTTCTCTAGTCCTCAGAAGAGCTCAGCAGACAACCTGTAAGGAACAACAACTACTCATCCTGGGAAAGCCGCTTACTCTCCCTGGTGCTACAGGAATTCACAAAAGCACCACCAGTCACATGTTTATTCACAGCAGGACTTCCACTGTCCAGCGAAAGCTTCTTGAGGATAGTTGGTACGAAAGTAGTAGAGAATTTGAAAG